GTGCTCCATGCACCAGCACGGACGGTGAGCGGCTTCAGCTCTGCTTCTCACATCATTGATGAGAATAGAAATTAGATGCTCATCTGTGTGGTTTTCATCGTTTCTCTGCACAAAAAGGCAAATAAATAACAACAAAAAAACATTGGTATCGGCACTGGCTATTGGTCAAATTGTTATTTTAAACATNNGTGCATCCCTACTTAGAAGAGATCAGATGTCTCTGGCCATACCTTAAAAACTATGGTAGTCTGTCTGCCATATCAATCAACCAATTAGTGAGTCCTAGTCAGTCCTGTAAGTGGTAAGTGAAAAATATAGAGTAAAAAGAGCCTTTGACGAAAATAAATTAACATGAACGCATTTGTATACCCTTAGTTATTCCTATCTTCCTACTAGTTCCAACAGGAAATATTTCAGACACATTAAGTGTATAATTTATGCATCCATAAAAAGAAAAATAATAATTCATGTACTATTTTGTTATCCGTCATCTGCTGTAAGTCCTTGGTTGTGGAATTTTAAGACTAATTTCAGTTGATGATGTGACAACTTCCTGCAAACTTTCAAAAGATGGTATCTTGTAGCCAGAAGGAGAAAATGGGAGCAGAGAGATTTCACAGCAATGTCACAGCTCCTCTATGAGGCAACAGACCACAAAATCAGTGAACACGTCATCTGTGAAACAACTTGATTCTAATTGCCCTGTATTAGTACAGTAGGTTGCCTCTGTAGGTCATTGTAAAACTTAAATTGGCCGAGAAGTCCATGACAAAAGCATTTAATCTGGAAAACACAAACTCATTACACTGCCGCCAATGTTATTCATCACAAACATGTTACCACTACCACTGAGACTGAGTGACTGACTAGTATTCAGTCACTGATCAACCAATGATGAGTTGGTACAATGCACAGCACATAAGGCCCTGATTATCATTTATTGGATGCAGATGAAGTTTTGGGTCTCTGGGTAATTCTGATTATTGAATTTTCACCATTTTGTGACCTTTAATAATAATAATAATAAAATTGCTTTACTAATCAATAACAAAAACAATTGCCAGCTGCAGCCCAATTTTGTTTATTTCATATATAATATGTCCATATACTTTGTTAAATGTATCGATTTAATAATGTATCAGTTCAGATTTAGTACACATTTGAAAAATAGAAACAAATTAATGTCCCCGTCTTTCACTCAAACCCTCAGAAATGTGTTATCCATGTGCAAGAGAGTGAATGGATGAATGTTGCTGTACACATGCAAGTGTAGCTCATAGCAGTTTACTTGAATATTAGCCACAGACATAATTATTTCCTGAAAGAGGTGGTTGTGAATGGTGTTTCTAAAACAGAATATATTAATCATCAACACCTTTGACCAGAAATCGGGTGTAGATATATTACCTGGAGATGATGAGCTATTGTTGTTTGGGAAGTGATCACAGCATGATTCGACACTTGGCTCTCTGCCGAGGGTCCAGAGCAGTTAATTTTCCAGAAAATAGAAGCCAAAGATACCGTCACAGACAGTAAAACACCAAGTAAAAATATACTGGAGTTCCCATAAAATGATTTAATTATAGTCAAAACTCTGGCCTTCAGAACATGATGTACCATGTCAAAGTCTAAAGCCTATCCAATTAAAACACAGCCAGATGTTACAAAGCTCCGACCCAACTGGATGAGACTAAAAAACAAATTTATTAAGACTTGAATTTACACCTACTGATACAGAGGAAAGAGGACATCTTCTTTTAAGAAGAATCTAGAAACACATCTATAAAGCAAACCGCGCAGAAGATGCTAGGACTGTAATGTCTACTGCGAGATAACCAAGCTACATATGACATCCTGGATTTTTCTGAAGGCCAGAGGTCAAAGGTTAAAGCAGTTTCACAACTGAGATAGTGTGGCGTTTAAAACTTGAATGTACAACTGACCAGAAAGACAGTCAAACACAACAGCCGTTTCTATTCCACAACCCAGCTGCAGTGTCAACATGAGCAATGTCAGCCATGATGTCATGATGTAGCAATTGAGAAACAAGATGTTGGCAGAGATACGAGACCAAACTAACAAACTGTAAAGTCCCAGTAGACTGGATAGATTATACGTAACACATACAGTCGCACAAACAGACACATTTAGGCACAGTGCGAGACGTGGCACATGGTATGTCCGGGTCGCTCTGGTTTAGGGCCGGCCTCTGGTTAAGATGTTTTCCTGGAAGAATTAGGGATGACATGGAGCTTTGAGGAATGTACCGAGCAGCAGGGCAGCAACCAGGACATTCTCAAGGGGGACTACGTGTGTGCTTGCATATGTCTGCGTGTATATGATAAACTTACTTCAATACCAAGCAGATCGCAGAGGATTACTCCAAATTAAATATTGCTCACCAGCAATGTGGACACACTTAGTATCATGCTTGTTTTAACTACAGTATGATTATGAATGACGATGTTCCTCAGAAGGTCTTTGTTGGCTGTTTCTCGGCTCTGACTTACTGTCTTCCTGGAAGTATTGATATAAAGACACCAGCCCACTTACCCAAGGCTCTAATATTCCAGCCTCATGTGTTTTGAAATGTGCGATTAATGATCTCAACCTCTGCATTTCCAGGGGACTTCTCAGCAGAGACCGGCCTGCCCTGTTCTTACGGGCCTGTCATCGCTTGTTTAACTGTTCACTGTCACTTGCACATCATTAGAGGAGAGAGCAGAGTCAACTTTTATCACCGAAATAAAAACACTTAGCAACACCACACACACGCAGGTAAAGTCAACATGATAGTGTCTTATTTTAAAAAGGAATCTGGCATCACAATGACCACCATGACAATGTTATTAATGTAATTTTCTAATGAAGACTTGTGTACTTGTAGAAGGGCTCTATCTAGGATTACTTATCAACCTTTAGTTCCTTCTTGTAAAAGTCAGCCATTGCTTTTGCGTCGGTGGTTTCTGCTGTTTTACTGAGAACTAAGAAAACTGCATGTTCAGGTCAATTTCAGTTTAGTCTAAAAACAAATGCTCACCATGGGAGTTTGTGTAGCGACAGCTTGTGGTCGGGTCATGTTACTGCCTTTATAGGCACAACAGGACATCATCAATGGTTACTGTCTCATGTCTCTGACCTCCTCCACCTTCTCTTCAAACTTTTAGTTTTTAGGCAACATTCACATACATATGAGTGTAAACTTAACTTCTTTAAGGGGGTCAACATATTGTTTTGTTTTGTTTTGTTTTGTTTATAAAGTGGTGGCACTAATTGAAAGC